TGTAATTTGCAGCGAAGGGACCACTTGATTTGAGGATGGTGTCTGTAGGGTTTTTCATGTAATGAAGTGGCTGCAGTGGAGCCTCAATACTTTTTTTATCTTGAGAAGTGAATGATATAAAGGATTAAAGGGAGAGGTAGTTTTCTTGTTAATATTCACTGCTTACAGCAGATCCTATGTCTAATTTTGAACTCTGGATAGGGGATGCTTAATTTGCTGCACTTTAAACAGGGAGTGTTGTCCACATAAAGACTCTTTATAGTTGATTTCGAAGTTTGGACTCTGTACAGTGGATTTTGGACCAATGGACTCTATATAGGGGCGAAGCCAATTGGCTGGACTCTATACAGGGAGTGATCTCCATCTAAACTTTGAGCTCACAGTTGATTCCAAGTTTGGACTCTGTACAGTGGATTTTGGACCAATGGACTCCATATAGGGGTTGGACATCATATAGGGGCTGGACGCTCTACTGAGTCCAACAAATATTTCTATAAAATTAATAATTGGAAGACAAATGAAGGTGTGGAGGATCGCCCAAAAACACTGACAAGGAGACAGTAAACGGTACACTGTACTCGTATCCATGTACTTATACACATTATAGCAGCACAACGAGAAAGACCCTGATGCATGATGATTAATGTTGCATCAATATATTTTACAGAGTTATTTTGGGAGTAGAAATGAAGATGTGTTCGAAGCAGTAAACTGCGTAAGCACTACGTTGAGCCAGAATATTGAAATACAGTTTCCTGCAGTCAAAACAAGACACTCACACTTCTCTGGTCTAGTTCGCCATTTTTATCGATAAACATGACTTGATTTAATTTCTTACGATGGTTCTTGAGAATGGATCAATGATGTCTTGAATAGATGTCTTCCTGAACGACTTCAACTGAGAGGCAGTTTCAGTTTCAACAAGCTGGACATTGTTTTTCTGTGGAGTGTTCCACAAGAAAGACAGAGCTACACACACGAAGGTGCTTGATGTACTCAGTACCTTCTTGGAAATGAACATATTTTCATTTCCATCTTCATTATATTTTCGTCTCTGCATCGTCGACGATGTCCACTTCTGACTCCGTAATCTTGTCACCCATCCTCTCCAAAAACACAAATCGAGTGCTGCTTGCATGCTGGATCAGTTGAAGTAAGTCTCTGCTCTAGCAAGATCGGCATGCAAAAATTACATGATTGAAAATATTCCGAAATAGCTTTTCTGAACGACGAAGTTTGTTCTTCAAATATGATGAATAGCACAACCTACTAGCCAGACCGTCCTCTCATAAGAGATTCTATCTGAAGCCTGCAAGATGTTCGACCACCCTTCGTTTTGGAGAGGAGCCCACACACACCAGACTCGAGCTACAAGTAAACTACGCGGAGATCGAGAGTTGATCGAAATCTTTCTTGCTCACTACTGAAACCTGTGAAGGAAAAAAGTATGCTGAACGCTCGAATGCCTACAGTTGAGTCGTAATATTTTGACGTGGATCCTGTGACCGTTCACAGAGAAAGTCACGGCTGTTTCTGACTGGTCATCGGGATTCAAACTGGTGTGTGACTTTATGACTGCTCTTCGGGGATTTGTGACTGTTTGATTGGTCACGGGGATCGTGATCGGTCATCGAGACGTGACTGCTCACTGAGTCCTACATATACCGTTAGCTGTTATGATTGCTGTATTCGTCCGTGTCCAGTTTTTTTTGCTGACGAACATTTGTCACATTTCGTGTGTTTTTAGGACTGTCTTGTCATTTCTATGCACATGTATATTCCGCTTGCCTATTCTGCAGTTGCACGTGCGTCTTCACATCTTTGGCCTCGCTCGTTTCTAATTTCTGTTGTTAAGCTGGCTAATGCGAAGGCTTGCTAAGCTTGATTGGCGAAGTCAACTCGAACAAGCATAATGGTAATAATGTTTACAAGTAAAATATTGTAGTCACGATGTGAAAGACGTGCTCTGTTCAATGCTGTTAGTGCCGTGAAGTCTTTATCGGAGTTCTCCTGCATTTCACGGTTCTGACTTTAGCTTAGGAAATAGTTCTTCTGAAAGAAGGTGCATGGTATTCACCACCTCTCCTGAGACCTTTTCTGCAAACTTAAAAAAAAGTACAATATTTCGTTTGGTGAATCTCCACCAATCTTCGTGTCACACGCCTTAAGAAGATGTTACGAGACGGAGAGAAAGGAGAGAATCACACATTCATCTTCAGGAAGTAGAAGGAACAAACAGCATAGTCTTTGTTTGGGGTAAATGCTGAACGACTGATTTGTCTCAACCAATATGTTTGCACTTGATTCGGCACTATTTTCGTTTGCCTGCTGATATCTCCGCACCCCAACTTTCTCCTGTTGTTGTCATGTTGTTGTTGTTGTTGTGTTTATTTTAATTCGCAAACCAAACGGGCAGATCTGCCCAATGAAAAGGTGGCGAATGCAGATAGAAAGCAGTAATAAATGAAATTGGGGACTGATGTAATTAGGATACAGGTGGAGAAAAACTAAGCCAGCTGATCATCAAACAGGACGTTTGGTACTCTAGGTACTAAGGGTGTGCGGGATCATGCTGGCGCGGAACTGGCGGAGCGTGGAGATGGCACGTATGTCGCTGGGTAAGGTGTTCCACAGCTGGGCGCCCCGGAACGCGAGGCAACCCTTGCCGAACCTGGTGGAAACTGGCGGTTGGCGCAGACCCATGGTGGAGTGCAACCTAGTTGGGCCAGCTGACGAAGGAACTAGGAGGGCTTGCAGATCAGAACTTGCGTGCCCATTCCGAGACTTCCAGACCAGAACGATGAACTTCTGCCTGAATATCTCGGATACCCTGTAGGTGTCCAATTGCAGCAGGAGGGTACGCGCGGAGGTGTGATGCGAGAGTCCGAAAACAGCCCTTGCCGCCCGATTCTGCATGACTTGTAGCCGATCCAATTGGTTGGCAGTAAGAAGCGGGGAAAACGCATTGGATCCGTACATCAGGTCAGACATGATGATCGCTTTAAAGTAGAGAACTCGGCTCTGATGAGTCAAGCAGCGACGCAACCTCCATAGTGCTCCGATTCTCTGGGCCAGTCGAGCGGTGCAGCGATCAACATGGGGCGTCCATGACAGATCCGAGTCGAGGAGCACTCCAAGATACCTAGACTCAGTAACGACAGGAATCGGCGTTTCGTGACAGTTTACATTGATCGTATGCTGGGGCTGCTGAGGCTGCCTGTTGGGGTATACAGGGATCACGTGGCTCTTGGCTGCATTCAAAATGAGACCACGGGTCTGCAACCAGTCAGCAAGTGCAGAAACCGAGCCCGATAGCGTAGCAGATACCGTGTTCAGGGATGTGCTGCTGCTGATCAGCGCGATGTCATCGGCAAATTGAACTGATGAAGACTGGTTAGCTATGGTTGGAACTTCGCGGGTGTAGATACTAAAAAGGATCGGTCCTAGAACAGAACCTTGTGGCACGCCACAGGATGGTGCAGAAATGGCACTCTGATCCCGTCCAATACAGATACGCTGAGTACGGCCCGACAGATAGGCGGAAAACCACTTTAGGGCTGTCCCTGTTATGCCGATATCGAATAGGTCCTGGAGTAGCCGTTCATGACGAACCTTGTCGAATGCCTTTGACATATCTAGAAGGCATATGCCAGTACACAAACGCTTGTCCCGTGCAATAAGAATGTCCCAGTACACAGTGGAGAGATAAACATTTAACGGCACTAACAGCATTGAACACAGCACTTCTTTCACATCGTGAACACAATAGAACTATTGAAAATGACAGAATTCTGCAGGGATCGACCTAGTCTCTGGCGGACCTAAGCAGATCGCACATCATCACTGCGCTGGTCGCTATGGCAACGTAATTATCATACAATTGGCGATGTTGTGAGTTTGGCCTATTGTATGCAAGGGGGTATATTCAATTCGAACCAATGTCAAATTGTCTTTCATCTGAACCCTACTTGAAAATCAATGAACGTCCTCCTTTATACTGTAGCTGTTCTTGTGGCTGTTGCAACGTACATCTATTGGTACCATAGCCACTGCACTCTTCTGTCTCTGGGCGATGTTCACTGCAGTGCAACCGCGAACCAGACACGAGATCGTTCGACCTCCGCCCAAATGCGAAAAACTCGACACATGTATCACATCACGGCGCGGCCTCCTTGGCACCATGACCTGTCAGTTTGCATTGATAATGGACAGATGGCAAGCAGTCTGTCACTCTGGTCTGGAGATTTGATGGGATATTTGCTTGCCACGGAGTGCTGTAAGCGGCCGGTAATGCATCACAGTGCCACTGCATCTGCCTATCCGCATTCGCAGTCAGATTGATAAACACGGGAAGGCAGGGGATATCTTTGAGTACCGTGTTTATTCATATATAGCACAGATCAGATAATGACACACTGCGCGCATACCTCCGAAAACAAAAAAATGAGAGTCTCTAGTGAATGTACATGCGCTTATATTATTATTATTAGAAGCTTCTCCGCGTTGGCATCAATGCAATGTAGATATACACAGCATGTATAGCTTTCGCATAAGCCGAAGCGACAACAGCCAAACAGGATATTGATGGCGATATAAAACATATGCGATATAAAACGCGTGACGAAAATAGAATACAATTAAAACAAGCAAACGAGCAGCTCAACCGAGTTGAATTTGAACTTGCTGATCATTATCAGGGTTCATCTGTGAGCAGCAACATATCTCTCCAGGATACGGCCGCTGAGGTAGGTCCACGCCCCGCGATTCTGGGCGATGCTCCTCAGCTCCTCAAGATCTGCCGAGGTCTTGAGGGTCCTCCCAACCAGCTCGAGCACTACATGATTTTTTGGAACTAAGGATAAAAATCATTCCACAAATAGACAAGAACCCGGCAAAGTATACATGACAATAAAGAGGAAAAGCCTCTAAAAATGACACGTCTCATTATAAATGCAATGAATACTAAAGGACGCGTGCAACGACTGGAGAAAATACAGTAGAACGTTTGCTGCGATTTGTTATAAATAAAGACAGTTCTAAGTGTTTGCACCAAGAGGAGCACGTCCGTGTCGGAGGATCCGGGGCTGAGAGGCATCTTCCACTTCAGCGGTAAGGAACAGGCAGGCTAAATTCGTTCCACACATTGTGTGTTCTTTGGTTGCTTCCCGACCTGGCCCTAAAATCCATTCATTGCAAGTCTACGGTAGTTCATCGCACAGCAAAAAGTATTATCTTAAGTGATATCTAGAATGGAGGTTGGGAACCATGGTGTGCATTTGAAAGCACTGGTTTATTTAATGTTTTCAGCTACCATGTAGTGATTGTTCTAACTGCCCGAACAATATATTCGGTTGGATCCCCTGGAACGAATACTTTCTCTATTGATAGCTTGCTGATTTCCTACGATTCTCTACCAGTCATATCATCACTCATGGCTGTTGATGAACAACAAGTATAATGAGGACTATGGAGGGGGAGAGGGCAAGTTGATGCATTCATCCAACGCGGAAAGATGTTGCAATCTCAATATCCCTATCCTCATCCTGAAGTGAAGCATAGGTATAGCTAACGACAGTTATTGCAAAATTTAGTGTAGATCGATCTGCCTCACTCCAACGTTTATTTCTACGGCTGTCCCTGCAGTAGTTGGTTAGTGGGTGAAGTGGGCGTGTGTGTGTGTGTGTGTGTGTGTGTGTGTGTGTGTCTGTGTGTGTGTGTGTGTGCCTGTGGGTCTGTCGGTCTGTGCCTCGTGAGGCTCTGTGGCAGACATTTCTTCGGCTCGGTGGATGTGGCTCTCGTGCAGACGTTCCACCTGGACATGTCGGCGTCTTTTCGTGTTGCTGGTAGTTTTACCGATTGGATCTCTGCACAAAATGGTTGGCGGCAGGGGTGTGTCATCGCTCCTATGCTGTTCAACCTATTTTTCGGATTGGTGATGGAGTGGGGGTCTGAAGTCAGAGAGCGCGGCATTGAGTATGGTGTAGATTTCAGCTTCTTGATTGATGGGCAATTGTTTCCCCGTGTGGCTGGGCGACGTCGATAGTCTCAGACTGGTCATGCTGATGATTTTGAGTTTTCCAATGACGCCGTCCTACTCGCAACAAATCGTGCTGCAGCCGACGTCTCCCTATCCGCCTTCTGCGATGTGGCATCCAGCTTTGGCCTCACGGCAAGCATGACCAAGACTAATCTAATGGTCGGGGCTACAGACTCGTAGTCACGGATTGTTCCGATCTGGCAGCTGGCAATGAAAAGGTTGGAGTTGTCACCTCCTTCCTCTATCATGTTGATGAAATTTACAGCTGACTATGCTTATGCAATCAACGGAATTCCGCCACCTTGCAGTTGATTTTCCCCATTTCTCTCCTCATTAATCCCTACTTCTCTTTGTACATACATCTACATCTACTGTTCTCTCAATCAAATGAACCCCTCGATAGGCACATTGCCTTTGGGTCATTTCATAATAATAATAATAATAATAATGTCCAGACCTGGGCTCGCAAAGGGTGCCAGGGCCTTTGGCTGTCTGCGGCGGGACCAGAGCCTGAACCCGCCTACGCGACGGCATTTACACGTGGTATGTGTTCCCATCACGGTTTTGTATGGCTCGGAATGTTGGACCCCATTGAAGTCGGATTAGGACAAGCTTGACAGGTTCCATCACGCCAACCTACCGTCAATCCTTGGCATTTCGCGTGGCTGCCAGTGGGAGCAACACATCACATCAGAGCCACTACGTGCGCAGTGGGGTGACCCTACTCCACTGTCGTGCATGGTACAGTGAAGACGCTTGGAGTGGGTTACACACCCAGCTCGGCTTGATGACAATCAGTAACCCAAGCAGTTGCTCTTCGCTCATCTACCACGAACCCGCCCGTTTTCCGGCCCCGATATCGGTGGAAGGACACTGTCCAGGCTGATCTGACTGTGGCCGGTGTGGGCAATTGGTTCGAATCGGCTGACCATCGCGGAGAGTGGCGTGATATCGTTTCGGAAGCAGCGGGGGTGAAGGAGCCTGCCCCGAAGACGAATGTGCGCCATGTTTGCGGCCGCCTGTTTTGTGGTCGCTGTGACATGGCCCGGCACAAGTGCACGCCAGTCCGGCATCTCCCAGTAACACAACAGCCTTTAAAGGTTCTAAGTTATAGGAATATCATAAGGAGGGGAAATAAAGGTGAGCGCAACCAAGATAAACACGAGCTGAAAGTCTCAGTTGTTTGGTTTGGGTTTGGTTTGGTTTTTATTATTTCAGTTCGTTGCCTCAACAGTACAAAGTACAAGTACTTATCAAGAAGGACGTACGAAAAGAGATGTGAAGGCGGATGTTCATGCATGTCGATGACCTTATGTTATTTCTAAAACGTAGAACCTTTTAAGTTGGAAGGCGTTTGGAGTGCGCATTTCATACGCGCTAAAGCTGTTAACCAGTTAGCTGTAGAACGTCAGTACCGTCAGTCAGTGTCGTGGAATTGTTATCGCATGAGCTGATTGTTTAGTAACTAGTGGTTTTAGGGAACACTATGGCGTAACTTGTAGTTCCTTAGTCCTTTTCTTTCTTATCAATTACATAAGATGAATGATTATAGTAATGATAATACAGATTCAATAAGATCACTGCAGGTTCACTGGATGCCATATGTGGCTGCACATTGCCATACAAAGTACATCCCAACTATCACCTGCTCACGCCGCACCAGTTTGGATTTCGTAATGGCCTCGGAAGCTTTGTAAGCTCTTCAAAATGACTCGGCAACCCCTGTGGGCTGTGGAGGTTCGGCTCTTATCCTTGCGGTGGACATCCCAGGAGAGCTTTCACGTGTCTCACATGTCGGCCTCCTCCACAAAGTGCTTGGTCTAGGCATCGATGGTCCGCTTTAGAGATGGTTGGCCTCGTATCTGGACGCCCATTCTCCACAGTGCCTCGTTGGAGGGCGGACGTCGTCTACGTATATAATCTCCGTTGGAATCCCCAGGGCAGCATTCTTGGCCCAACCATCTTCCTTGCGTACTTTAACGCCAGATGTTCTCGCTGACGGAACCAGCTTCGAGACCTATGCTGATCACATAACTTTGTACAGCTTAGTCATGTCCCAGCAGACCCTTGAAGTCGCTTCACAGTCACTGCAGGTGTCCGTTGACCGACTGCACGAGTGGGGCCGTAAATGGAAGAGGTTTTTCAACCGACAAAATCCCAGGCCATAACAGCCACCCTCAGACCTCTAGCCACTCCTATTTGATGGTACACTGGTACCCTAGAAAACCAGCATCACCATCCTTAGTGTGAAGGTGAGTGCCAAGTTGACCTTTGGCGATCCCTTACGCACCTGTGCACGCCAACCGCTTGGGGTCCTAACCAGAGCCGCCCACATCGTACATCCTCACAACCGCCGGCCGGACTACCGTATAAAAGGCATTCGTACAACCAATCATGGAGTACGCGCCTCTTCTGTGGATGGGAGCTGTGCATGGTCACCTTCAGCGTCTGGAAAATGTTACGCGCCGCGGACTAGGGGTGAATCAAGTATTAGAACGTTCGACTAAGTTCGCCCTAATGGAACAATGCGATTCGCTACTTCAAGGTGTCGAACGATCGTCTATGCATGCGTAGGTAAACGCAGTCGGATGCTTGTACTTCAAAATGACATTGTACATGTATTGCGCAGAGCGCAGCCAGCTACCCTCGATCCCAGGTCCCTGTTACAGATTACAGATGCTATTCAAAGAAGAAAGTTACTGCAGATTTTCCACTACTGTGACTAGCATGACGAGTTCGTCAGAATGATTCGTTCGCCTCTATTGGGATTTGTTACAGGCCTATTATTTTGTCAGTTTTGGGATAATGTGTAAGTACCTGGCATGAAAGACCAAATGAATGATTAACTTTTAAAATGTTTGGACGGTAAATTTTGCTCTAAACTGTTCAGGAGCTTGCTAGCTGTGTACAAACACCAGTATTATGTATAGAGCAAGCACCCTTGCAAAGACGGTCAATTATGTACCATGACTGCTTTTTTTTCAACCTAAATATTCAGTCTTTCACACTTTGGCCGATTTAACGCAAAATAGAACTGTTACGATCGACATTCAGGTTAAAAAATCAGGTGGAACTACTGTTGTTAAACCTTGTTCTCAATCGGGCTGTTTTAGCCTGGTTTGACTTTTACCCAACAAGTCCGCTTGCATTGTATTAATTTGGCTTCTTCAGCAGAAACACATCTCACTGTAGACCTGTGGACCGACAACTCGACAAACCATAATGTGAACACATATATATTCTTTCTCTTTCCTTCATACTTACTTTAAATTTTATCTGGTGCGTGCAGAGCGTGACGATGTTAACCCTTTAAGAGCCGCCCCATACTTTAATGCGTCGTAAACGACGCATTCAAATGCAAAACTTCAAAAGACCGTAACTCAGTCCAACCTCGCTCAAATCCAGTGATCGAAATATCCAGGGCAAAGAGAAAACTCTCACCTGTCGGGAGAAACAATCCGCGAAGCGCTGCGAGCAACGGTTCCTGAGATAAATCACTCGTAAGTTGAGCCGCGATCGCGGCAATTTCAAAAGCGCGCAGTGCGACTTTAGTATTGAGAATTTTGAGACTTTTCGTCACGCTGGTTTACTCGAATTTGCACGGGTTTCACTGTTGATATTGTCAAGAGTACACAGCAAAAAAATTGGAACTCCACGATCGAGTAAAATGAAATATCTGGAGTGGGACGCAATTGGACGCATTTGGGGCATTTTTCGTACTGTCGCTGCGATCTAGCGCTGGATAGACGGTGTGCTGGCTATCATGATCGACCTCATTCTCTTTCTCTCGCGGAGACCGTTCCAGGAAGCCCTAGATTGTGAGGATTGAGTGAGTAGAACTGAAGCTATGATCCAAGGAACACGAAAAAATGCAGAATTTTGAAAAATTCCTGTGGCTCTTAAAGGGTTAAGACCAGTTGGTCGACGAAGCGCCTGGCCCCAAATGGCTTTTAGTAAACAAAATAGCCTCTAACCCAGGCACCTGCTCTCTCCGTGTTTTTCCTACGTTTCTCGTATAGCAGAACCTCCTTTTTTCTTTGCATTGTCTTTGTACAGCAGCCGAGCTACTAAATTAATCAGTGCATATTTTGATTTGAATCGACTTGCTTCTTCTGCCATTGTGCTTGTACTCCAGTCCAGGAAGAAGTGGTACGCCATGGGTCACCTTGGGAGCTACATTTTTGCTTTGCTGTTGATCAGTGCAAGCTGGCTGGCGTTAGATGCCCAGCCATATGTGTGTAAGTGTGAATGCATTGTTTCAGAGGTTTTGCACGTTTTTCACACTGTAACTGATGATACATAAATGAACGTCGAACGTCAAACGTCGAGTGTTTTAGCTCTACAGAAGTCTACCGTTTTTCAGTTATTATAAATATATTCTGGACTGTAAAAAAAGAAAAAAAACACATCAGAACGAGTTATGCAGCAACTATCCACGACGGTAGAAATTCTGGACAATACATGTATAAAAAAGTAGTTGAAAAAAAAAAAAGTAGTTGATTGATCTTTTTCCTTGAACTTTGTTATGTATATCTAATATTGACTGAGTACGAGGTCAATATAGGAAATAAAAGCCGAGTAAAAGACCGAGGCGAAGCCGAGTAAAAGACCGAGGCGAAGCCGAGGTCTTTTATGAGGTTTTATTTCCTATACTAACCAAGTACGAAGTCAATATTAGATTTATCACGACAAACAGTCCGTATTTCAAATTCCAGGACGATAATCTCATGAATCCCGGTTTATGATTGCACAACCGTTGCACCACCACCTACTCATGCAGTGACAATGCTGCACAAGGCACCGTTCAACTGTGCAACCCCTATGTGAGTCAATACTAAGGGAGTGATAAAATACATTATTACAAGAGAGAGATTGGAAGCTTTGTTACAACTCTGAGTTTCACGTATTACTACCATCATCAGGCAAATTGCAATCATGTTAGCATGTTCTTATTTGTTCTTGAGTACGACGATGATTCCTAAAGAGTGTTGTACGAAACCATGTTCGAATCATCTTTTTTTCATCCCATTTTCTCCTTACATGTATTTCTCCTTACTTTTAAGATCGTTTTCCGCATCGTCTCCATCCCTTAACATTGTTCAATAAAGTAACCCAAATGTCACTTCGCCTCGTCCTCCTTATTGCATTATTAAAACTGTTGTCTCCATGTCGAATATTTAAATAACACAGTTGCGCGCGATGGAACATTAATATTGTGCAACACTAATGTTCGGTCCGCTGCTGTCTCTTGATGAATTATTATTATTATTTTTATAGACAACACCTCATGGCATGATAAGAAAATCAGCCAGTACGGGAGATGTGGGTGTTAACCAACCATGGTGAATAAAAGAAGAAAAGAAGAAAAGTAATGGTCAAGACAGAGAAGCATGGGCGGGACAGGTGATGGTGAATATAGTGAGCATATATAAATGAGGCCAGGGTACTGGCATTGCGCGTAGTAGCGGGCAGCGCAAGCCAAGAAGAGTAAGCAACAAAGAGTGGAGAGCGTACAAGGGAGGACATTTTAGCCAAGGGGAAGGCAACAGAACATCTTGTCTGGGAGCCATCTGTGATTCGGAACCAGTTATACACGTTAAGATGAGGAGGATGTAGAGCTAGTTTAAATTTGTGAGCAAAAGTGCAAATTAATTTTTGACGGTGGGTCGACAGTGGGCAAGCATTTGCAAGGACATACAGGGAATCTTTCCGTTGTTCTAGATAAATATCATTAGTTGTAGAGCCACGCTCTCCATGCCGGTTTGTCCCTTGCCCACTCAGTCACCAGGTCCAGATCACGCACAGTGGTGAAAGTCATTCCGCCTCTCTCTCGTCAACGCCTTTCTTGGGCGCCGTGGACGACCTCCGAAGTCTTGGGTCAAGTAGATGTTCATGGCTTTGCGGGCGGGCATGTCGGGGGACATTCTCAGGATGTGTCCTCTCTTTTTCTCCTGCTTTGCTCTTTTATCAGGGTGGATATTGGACAGGTTTCACAACGTTCGCACAGGCGTTCATCGCTGATTTTGTCTTGTAGCTTGATAACCAGGACATGTCGAAGTTGCTTTGTATGGAGTGCGTCTTACTTGTGGAGGTTTCCCGCCGTCAATCCCCATGCGTGACAGTTGTATAGGAGACTAGGGAGGACAATGACATTATGCAGACGTAATCTTCTCGTCTCTAAGATCTGCTCTCTCCTCAGCCACATCGTATACATCAGTCTGAAGGGTATTGACACCTGACTCATTCGTCTTGTTGTGACTAGAGTCTAGACTCTCTTAGTTCCACAACATAACTAACTTCATAAGGACTGGGATTAATTCTCATTCAGTACTACATGACTTACTCTAATCTCTAATCATCAAGAAGCTAGGTAAAACCATAAAGCCATCAAAACAAACAAAAGGGCTAATACTACGTGGACGATAACGTCACACAAACATACACGTGATATTATGTACAACTTCGTGATGTAATCACGACATTCCCACACACAGGTGGAGAGATCAATCACAAAAGACCTGGTGACCAAAGGGAGAAAGATTATAATAGCGCATAAGAACTGCGATTTAGGTGTGTATTTTTATTTGGGTATTGTTAATGTTAACTAGGGCAGTCCCCACAGACGCATGTCTCCTGACAGGCTACGCTAATGATGTGACATATCTTGTGAACCAAATTGCGAAGGTACTGAAGAGCAAGGACACATAAGTCATGGAGCCCATACTACACCCTAGTGCCAAAGTAGTGAGTGGGAGAGCAAGTTGGCAGAGGAAAAGAAAACTCGAATAAAAATGGGGGTGAACATAATTATACAGCTTGAGTGGATGATAGCTGATTGAGACAGACACCAGCATGGTGAACTAAACCAAGTCTGCCTCGTGCAAATCCAGGACGCGTCCTAAGCCTTCGATAGCAGCTCGTCTTACCGGTCGAGAAACTGTTGCAGGGACGTGTGCGTCGTTGGTTACAGCGGGAGGCTGTGGTTCATTCGACGAGTGGTCAGCAGGTCGAGCAGACTCACACTCCAACGGATATAGGTGCTGTAGTGAGCGCCGTAGGAGCTTGTTATTGGGCGTCCTCACAGTGGCAGAACGCGTTTCTCCATCACGACTAGCGTGAAGTTCGCTGATGATACCCAGTTTCCACATACCTCGCGCGTCGTCCTTGATGAGGCACACATGTCCAATCCTTGGCTTCACGGTAGAATGAGCAACCTGTTTCAACTGCGATTGTTGCCGTTCTCGTAGACTGGTTAGGTATTCAGATCTCCAACAGTTCCAAAACTCATTCAATCGCTTCTGACCTTTCTTCCACGTAGAAAGTAGCAGTTCCGCTGACGACATTGTTGGGGCGAAATCAGGGTCCTCTTCTACATGCCCTTGGGGTAGACTGATTTTGGCTGATAATGATAAGAAGTGGGCAGGTGTCAAGACCGTATAGATCTCATCGCTTACGTACACCAGCGGTCGTGAATTTACTACTGCTTCAACTTCGACGAGAATGGTTGACAGCTCCGTTGTTCCGAGAACTAGTCTGCCAATAGACTTACGGAGGGCTTTCTTCACGATTCCAATCAACCGTTCATAGAACCCGCCCATCCATGGGGAGAGTTGCACAATGCAAATCCATTCGATTCCATGGGAAGCAGCAAAATTAAGAGTGTGGTCATCCTTCACAATGGCTTCCCAAGCAAGCTGTAGAGTCGATTTCGAAAGGAGGAATTGCTGAGCGTTGTCAGAGAAGATCTTGCGCGGTACTCCTCTTCTTGCCACAAATCTGCGCAATGCCATCAGGAACTGTTCTGTGGTCATGTCAGCAACAAGCTCGAGGTGGATGGCACGTGTGACCATGCACGTAAATAGGCACACCCATACCTTGTGGATGAGTCCATGTTCTCTGACTGTCATTGGGCCAAAGTAGTCGACGCCGACGTGTGTGAACGGTTTAGACTCAGCTACGCGCTCTGGAGGGTAGGGTGCCATTTTCGGTAGCGAGTACGGCCGACCATTGAACCTCTTGCATACAACACATTTCTTGAGTACAGTCTTGACGGTTTGTCGTCCTCTGGGGACCCAATAGTCATACCTGACTCGCGATAGGGTATGGTTAGTTCCACTGTGCAGCACCATGCTGTGACAGTCATTGATGATAGCTGTGGTTACTGGATGTGAACGAGGTAGAAGGATGGGATACTTCGCTGAGTATGGTAGGGATGAATTCTCCAATCGACCCTTGCAGCGGATGAGGTTATGTTCATCTAGAAAGAGCGCAAGGTTTTGGACCAGCTTGTTCTTGGCGTTGCTTTTGATAGCCTCAATCTCCGGTGTATAGTGTGTTGCTTGAACATGTTGAATCCACAGATGTTTGGCGTTGTCGATTTCAGCAGCAGACAAATGAGTGCCGCATGTGGTCTGTTGACGGCATCTCTTGACAAACTTGATACCGTATGCTGTTACACGGGCTAGCTTCTCAAACGAAGTATACTTGCTCTCATCTATACTCAGCGGTGATGGCTTGCTGCTGGTCTCGGTTTCCGCAGGACCCTCCGCCGCGAATATTACTGTGGAAGGAGCATCGATGACGTCTTTGGGCCAGTGTACAGGAGGATCTCGAAGCCATTCTGGACCACACCACCAAGCTGTACTGTCTGTCAGTGTGGCTAGCGATGCTCCACGGGATGGTAGGTCGGCTGGGTTGTCGGCTGTACGGATATAGTTGAAGCACACACTTTGGTCTGCACGGATGAAGACAGGGTACGATTTCTCAGTATTCTTAATCCAGCCAAGCACGCACTGTGAGTCAGACCGCAGGTGGGTAGCTGAGATGTGAACTGCGCCCAGAAGCTCATTCTTCAGAAATTTGATGATCCTGGCACCGATGAGTGCTGCTAGGAGCTCTAGACGTGGTATACGTATAGCCTTGATGGGCGAGACTCGTGTTCGGCTGTAGATCAGGTCAACTGACGAATAGGCACCGTCAACTTGTCTCACACACAGGTACGCGGCTGCACCGTAACCATCTTGAGACGCATCACAGAAGACGTGGAGTTCATAGGTGACCTTGTCGACGTGGATTTTTGGTCCAATGAAGCGAGGAATGGCAACGTCACTTGCGCAGGACAGATCGGACAGGATATCCTTCCATTCATGAACGAGAGCGTCAGGCAGCGGAGAGTCCCAGTCTACATGTAGCTTCCATATACTCTGTACTAGGATCTTCGCACACATGATGACCGGGG